CCCCCCCTGCCCACCGTTTCTCACACATGGCTTGGCCTCGCAACTCACGGCTGTTTTTCCAGTGCCAGGGCAGGGTCCACCCGCTCCCCCTCACTGTGCTCGGCCCCCGCCGGCTTCAGCATCTTGGGGGTCCAGCTCTTCTGGCGTAGGTGCTGCCGCAGCGTCTCCTCTTTGGGACGTTCTGAGCCCTCAAACTGGACTGGGAAGGATGAGATATGAGCCTCCAAAAGCCCTTCTAGGCCACTTCCACTTCTAATCCCCACCCTTAGCTCTGTCCCTATCCCCAGCCTTGGCACCTTCCCCAGCCCCAGTTCCGTCCCCTTCTCCATCCACGTACCTGTTCCCATCTGGTCCAACCCCATGAAAAGGGACATTTTCAGCTACATCTGGTTGCTCAGAGCCCCATCCAACTTGACCTTGCAAACATCTACCACCTTTCTGGGCAACCTGTGCCAGTGCCTCGCCACCCTCCAGCACAAAAACCTTCTTATATCTAATCTAAATTTCCCCTTATAGTTTAAAACCATCCCCTCTTGTCCTGCTAAAAAGTCTGTCCCCATCCCTGTCCCTGTTGTCATCCCCATTCCCATCCCATGCCTGTCCCCTACCTGACAATGCTTTGACAATCTGCTCCTTCTTCCACTCCCAGGGCTGCTCGTACTCTCCCGCTGGGCGCTCGTCGTTCTCGGGCAGACGCCCGTCACTGGCCCTCACCCTGCGCTCCGGGGTCCCCCCAGCCACCCCCTCCCCAGGCTCATAGGGGGTGTCGTAGAGCTGTGACCCCTTCCCTGCCACCTCCTTGACCCCCAGCCACTTGGCCGGCTCCAGTTTGGCACCCCCCTCCCCCGGCTCGCCAGGACCGTCCAGCAGCAGGATAGTTTTGACCAGGGGGTCCTTGGAGCCCCGACGACGGATTTCTGTGGGGAAGAGGGATGGTGGGTCAGGATGTGTCCCCTTAGACCCCCCCACTCCCAATACCAGCCCTTGGAGAGGGATGTGCACAGGAGACCCCATACTGGGAACGCCCCATTGGGAACCAGCTTGGGAGGAGCAGGAGCAGGAAGGGGCCCATCCTCATGGCGCCTGGTCTGCTGTCGCGGCCCTGGCGCCACAGGCACAGCCCCACAGTGGTGGGGCCAGCTGGGTCCTGCAGGGGCAGGATGCTACACCCCAGGCTGGAGCCTAGCCACGGGGGAGGCCACCCCGGGGGGCTCACCCCTCCTGGCCCCCTGCTTCTCCCCACGACACCAGTCTCCACCAAACAGCCTGGGCTGCCCCGCACGGAAAAAAACCATCAGCAGCAAATCTTTTATTTCCAGCTTCCGGCCCAGTCAGTTCCTGTTGTTGTGGCCAGCTGGATGGTCGCCACGCCGGCCCTGAGGGGTCACCATCTGGGGGGCATGACCACGGAGGAGTCTCAGGGGGGCGGTACCCTCACCCTGGGATGACTGGGGTCACTGAGAGTTTTGCGCTGGCCATACGCACCCATCAGGCGGTGGCAGCAGGTCATGGCAGCGGTCAAGGGGCCGGCGGGCACAGGTCAGTGTCCGGCCTTGCTCCCACTCCTTATCTGGCCCCACACAGCCACAGGAAGCAGCAAGCAGCTTTCCTGTTCCTGAAGCCTCCCGTGCCGGGTGGCTCCAAGGGCTGCTGTGCACTCCCGGCTGGGGAGTGGTACCAGCTGCGGTGCCGTGGCATAGCTCAACATGGCACATACCTGTGATCATCTGCTGGGCATCGTAGGGCTCCATGTACCCGTCATTCTCCCCCAGGCGCTCGGCGTCCCGTTGCTCCTTGGTGCGCTTGGCGTCGTAGGGGTCAGCATAGTCCTCCAGGATGACGACCTGATGAGGGGACAGGCACTGCTGGCCTCAGGGCAGGGGACCCAGAAGGGGTGTCAGGGATGCCACTGGCACAGAACTGGGAACAGGAGACTGGGGTCCCCAGGGGAGGATGGCGGCTCCGCTGGGGTAAATGGAGCCATGTCACAACCCCAGGAGGGTGCATCCAGTGGCACCTTTGGGTGGGGGCAGTGTCCATCCCTATGCACCTCAGCGGTGGGGAGGAGCCTGGAGGGAACTCTGGGACCCTTTTGTGTGACAGCAACGCCCCCTCCCCCCGCCCCCCATCTAGCTCCCAGTCCCCCAAAGGCTGTGCAGGGGTGAAAGTCTAGCTTCCCAGAAAAACTTTACATCAGTCTTTGTTCAACCAGCAGCCGAGCGCTGGGGTCAGGGTAGGATGGGACACATGGGACGTGGCGAGGGGGCCCGGCGACCCCTCTCACCCTTGCCCGGCTGATGAAGGGCAGTTGGGATGAAGGTAGCTTTGAAGGGATTTGAAAGCAGTGGAGCCGAGTGGGATGAAAGACCAGAGTTAGCGGGCTAATGAGTCAGAAGCCCAAAGCGGTTAAAGCTGCCACTGCCGCAGGCTCCCCACAGTGCGCCTCCCCCTCCCCCACCTCGGTCCCTGCCTTACCGTCTCTGTCTTGGGGGTCTTTCCCTTGTCCTGCTCGGGGGCAGGCGGGCCAGCGGGCAGGGGGCCAGGGTATCCCTTCCCATTCTTCTCGGGAGCCTCCACCTTGATGAGGCGGTTGATGTAGGCACCGCAGGTTTTGGGGGGTCCCTCCGGCGTGCCTCCCTCCGCTCGAGAATTCTTCCGCATCTTCCCAGTGGCGGCCTGGAGCAGACCCTGCAGGTTGTCCCGTGACAGCCGGCTGCCCCCTTCCTTGCCACCCCCTGCCGCCCGGCAGCCTCCAAGCTCAGCAGTTGAATTTTTGCGGCTCTTCCCGAGGCTCCCGCTGCCCGGCCGAGCCCTCTCCGAAACCGTCTTCAGGTTGGATGGGAACTCCTTGAACCACTTGGCCGCCATGGGACCCGGGAGCTGCAGGGTGCCGAAGCCCCCCCGGGGCTCGTCGACACCCCACGGCCGCCCCGCCGGCTCAGGGTCGGCTCAGCCGGGGGGCACTGGGCAGCCCGGTTGCCCCCAGCCCCGGAGACGGGATCCTCTGCGGCCGGGGGCCAGCCCGGGACGGGGGATGAGGGCCGGGGGGCCGGGGCCTTCGTAGGGGGCTCCAGGCGTCCTTCGCCCCCGCGGGGACAACCGGTGGGTCCCCAGGGGTGCCGGCTCCCGTGGCCCGGGGAAGGGACCTCGTCCCCTCGGGGGTCCCTCGCCCCTCGGAAGGGCTCCGGCGGGGGCCGGGCTCTCTGATCCAGCAATGGGTCGAGTAGGGGGTCTCGCCGGGCGTCGAGGGGGTCCGGCCGGGGCAGTCCTTGGGCCGCTCTGGGAGTCCCCTGTTGCCGGGGACGGGAGCGGGAGGGGTCTCTCCGTGCTCCGAAGGGTCCGGGCAGCCGGGGGATCCCGTCGCGGCTCCTCGACGGGGTCCGTCTCCGGGGGCGACGGGGCTTTGGCGAGGGGTCAGGCCGGCCCGGGGGGCCCCATGCGGCGGCGGCGGGACGGGTCGAGCCGGGCCGGGGCCGGAGGGGCCGGAGGGGGTGGTGGGGCCGGCGCTCCCCGCCCAGATCCGGAGGGGGCGGCCCCGGGGAACAGCGAGGGACCAGCCTGGCAGGCGGTCGCGGCCCCGGCGGACAGGAGGAGCCCTGGGAAGGCAGGGCAGCTTCGGTGGGGGGCCCGTCCCAAAGGGGCTGGGAGACCTTGGGACCCTGCCCGGCTGATGGCACAGGAACTGCACATGGAACCCACAGACGGACACTGCGTGCGGACCCCCGCACAGAGATCCCACAACACAGACTTCCGTGCGCGGGCCCCCCTGCACAGCCCCCGGGCGTGGACCCCATGGGTGGAGCCTGCGCATGGACTCAGTGGACCTTATGGGTGGAATTTATGGACTTTACGGATGAGATCTGAACGTGGGCGCTATGAATTAAGCCTGGGCGTGGATCCTATGGACCCTATGGATGAAGACTGTGCACAACCCCCTGTACAAGGACTCTGTGCACAGCCTCCCGTGCACAGCCTAACGGGTCACAAGCACAGCGCCAATGCACTCACTGCTGCCGCAGCCGCGGTTCACGCCACACCAGCCAAGATCTGTGCTGATACCTTGCCGGAAAAACCCAGCTGAGCCCAGCGGTTTGGCTTCCTGCCGGGCTGCACAGCGCCGGGGGGCACTTACCCGTGCCTTTGCAACAGCACGGAATGGGGAGGGGGTTTTGCAGGTAAAATTGCTCCCCAAGTCCCCAGGGTGGGAGTCTGGGATCAGGACACAGGCTCCTCTTCCTTGTAGGAGCCAGAAAACATCCCCACAGACCAGCTGCCTCCTCCCTGCCTTCTTCCCCCCTCCCCAGGGAGGCTTCTCTGTGAGGGATCACTGGGAGAACTGACCCCAACCAGCAACGTGCTGCCCAAATCCAGGTGCAGGGAGGTGCTTGGTGCTGGCACTGCATAGGAAGTGATGGCAGTTTCCTTGCTGGCGCTGCTGGGCAGGATGTGCCTCGCAGGGATGGGCTGGCACCCAAACTGCCAGTGGGGATCTCAGTAGGCTCTAGTTTTGCCTTCTCGAGCTCAAGGAAAACTCTGCTTCCCTTGGGTACCAGCTCCTTTTCTTTCCTTGGCAGACTTAAAGTCTCCCTCAGTCATTTACAGGGCCTCAACAGGACAGACACACAGGCAGCACCCTCTCAGTGGTTTGGTGCTGCGGCAGCGCAACCGGTGATTTGCCATCCATGCGTCTCCTCCTCCAAGTCTCCCCTACGCCCTTATCCTCTACCAGCTCCTGCAGGGAAAGGCTTTGGGACTACCTTTGGCAGCGGTGACAGATGGCACCACCATGCACCTGCTTCCCTGAGAAGACAAAACAAGCGCTGAGCCAGCACAGTGGTGACGAGCACCAAGCCCAGCTTGGAGTGGGACAGGCAGGTGCAAACAAACAGGACTGGCAGGCGCCTGCCAGACGCCAGCTCAGGCTGCTCCTGCCGTGCTTCCAGCCCCAGTGCCTGCCAGGTCAGCATTCCACTGACAGAGAGGGTCCTGCAGGGCCTTCTTCAGTTCTGCTCATCCCAGCCCAGAAAGCTGCCAGGATTTGAGAGCATGCACCCACGAGGTCTCCTAGCCAACTCAGCATACCCAATCCCAACCCAACGCTAGGCTCGGCAGAGTAGTCCGCACCTCACCAGAGAGAAACCCCCACAAATGTTTTACACCATCATTAAATCAGCTTAACACCCCACCCAGCAGGTTCCTGAGCTAAAGAGAAGAGCAGAGCTCCCCCCAGCCCCTGGTCCGGGGTGGAGAAGGAAACAGGGCAGAGCTGCTCAGCATCACAAACTCTCGGGTCCTTCAGCAAAGCACTTAAAAATAGTCCCCAGCTGATACCAGAGCCATTACTAATCCCCCTCCAACAGCATCTTTTTTATTTCCAAGGCTTCGAGCAGGACAGGGGACCAGCTGCTGAAGTAGATAATGGAGTTCTGAGGCCCTTTGATTTTCTAATAACTTTTATTCAAACACAGTGAATTAATACCCATGGTCCCAGCTTTGACACTAGTGCGTCAGCAATGCCCTCCAACTGAGGACACAGCTCAAGTTAGAGGAGCTCTGACACCCAAATCTCCTTCCAGCAGACTTAAGACAGAGCTGGGGGGATTCGAGGCAACAGGCCACAAATGCAGCAACACCATCCATGGAGGGCTGGAGCACCAAGGTGAGCAGGAACAAGAGTTTGAGGAGGGAAAGTAAAACAAACCACCATCGAATGAGGTGCTCGCTACCAGAGCAGGTCCTGGTCAGGAGCAGTGGTGGCCAGAGCAGTGCCTACACTCCCCTCCCCGCAGCAGTTTTTGCATCCACAGCACAGCAGGTACTGGGGTGAGGGGCTCAGACCCCACCCACAGCTAGTGGGGAGAAAGAGGACAAAGAGCTATAGCTCTGGGCTGGGCACAGTTGGGCCTCTGTTCATCTCGCTGCTGGGCAAGAGGAGAGAGAGAAGCTGGGGCGGGAGCTGGCAGTCCTGGGCTGTACCCACAACCTCTGCATGGCAGAGGACAGCCTCAGATCTCCCCCTCTGTGCTTTGAGTTGCAAGTTCGCAGTTTATGAAGAGATGGGTTTGGCCAAGGGGAGACAGGCTTTTCTTCTTCCAAGGCAGCTGCTCCAGCTGTTCCTGCAGGGCTTGAGCCCACCGTGGCTCCATCCATCTCCCCACCCTGGCACCAGGGCTGCAGCAGAGTTCTTAGGGCACAACCCACCCAGCAGCAGCTTGCAAAGAATGAGTTAGACCAGCATTCTCAAATTAACAAACTGTAATTTTTCTCCAAAGATACATTTTCCATACACATCCATCATACACTGTAACAAAAAAAAGCAGTGTACATGAAATAAGAAAATAAATTAAATCCATAGCATAGGTAAGGAGGACGCTCTAGACTGGAGTAGAGTCAAAAGTTTCCAGCGATACAAGAGGTTCGAGTTTGTTTTAACAAGAATGCCTGCTAGCATGGGCCCAGCAAGTGTTCTGGGGCAGTCCAACTCCTTAAACAGTTTTATTTAGAGTTTTGAACAGCCAGTATTGTCCCACAACAGGCAGAGCTATTACATCCTGGGAGAAAGCCAAGAGGCATCAGTAAGATCCAAGTAGAGCATCCAGAAGATAATCAGATTGGTCCTGCAGCATCGGCACTAGCCATCCTCCTTGGGTGGTGTGTACCAGCCTGGAATGAGGAGAGAGATCTGTGAGGGAGGAAGTTGCATGGGCAACGGGAATCTGTGCCTGGAAAAGCTGCTTTCCCACTTCCAAAAGGCCACGTCTCCCCGATTAGTGGAAAGCTTTCCCTCTGGGTTACTTCCTGACACCATGGACAATCACAGAATTGTTTAGGTTGGAAAAGACCTCTCAGATCAAGTCCAAGCATTCAGTGAGGTGCTGCCTCTAGTTACAGCCGCAGGAGCCCATCCCTGGGCATCAGGGAGGGCAGCAGCATGCTGCACCCACACTCTGCATTCCAACAGGTGCCCCTGCCTCCAGGTCACCTCTGCACTTGGAGCGGGATAAAACTCAAGCAGCTCGTCTGGGGAGCCCAAATGAGCAAGGGGAAACACAGGCCCCCATCCCTCAGCCCTTACCATTCTTCTCATGGATCTGAACCAGGGACTTGTAGGACTGCTGTGCTCTTGTCAGGCTGTACTGGTTCTGCAGTAGAAGGCAGAGAGATGATCAGTCCAGCAGGAACCTCGGGCAAGCCATCCCATAGCCAGAGCTGGCTGTGCCTCCGTCTGCCTCTCCCCTATCACCCACCTTTCTCTTGTACCAGCCAGGTCTTACTTACCTTATTGGCTCCGAATTGTACTCGTGCTTTCCCTTTCACCAGCGTCGCGCTGATCTGCATGATCACTGACTCGATGGAGTAGGCGCTGCTCCAGCCCTGGGAGAGCAACATGTGGTGAGGTCAGACCCACCCTGGGGGCTGTGCCCCTCAATGCAACCAAACAGCCTCCCCCAGCTGTGCCAAGCAAGGGCATAGTAGGATCCAGCAGGAATGTGGAGTGTGGCAGGTAGAGCAGCTCCCCCAGCCTCTGCAGGGACCAGTACCCACCTGTTTGGTGAGCAGCTCCATGCAGATGGCACCGCCACCCAGAACATACCTGGGGAAGGAATGAGACAAAATTACTGCAGAAATGGATGCAGCCACACCCACCCACTGCTCCAGAGGTGAAACATCTCTGATCAGATCTCAGATGGAAGAAATACACTAAAAAAAAATCCACCATCCCAGTCTCTGCTTCCCTACAGCAAACCCATATCAGGGAGGTCATGATGCTGGATAAAGCCAGTGAAAACTGTTGCAGGAAGCAGCTCTGCAGAGCAGAGAGAGGCAAATGGTTACTCACCCCCCTGACAGCACTGGGGACACAACCCTTACGAACGGTGGATCAAAAGGAAAGTTATCCTGGAATGCGAGAAGGGAAGCAAAGCTGTTGAGAAAGGTGTTCTTTGAAGCCTCACCCAGGCAGGTGCCTCTTGAGGAGGGGGAACCTTACTTTAAAGGAGAAGTTGAGGAGGATGAAATCTGTTCCTTCTTTCTCTTTGAGGATCTGGAGATCGTTGTGCAAAGCGCTGTCCTCGTCAACCCTGCGGCAGGAACACCCCAGAGAGTCAGTCAGGGCCAGACACCTCAGGCCAGTCGTGCTGTCAGCTCACCCCAGAGCCGCCGTACCTGCACTGCCAGGCAGCCTCACGGGCCCCAGGCCCTCACCGAGGGCAGTGCCAGCACGGGCTGCTGGCATTCTGCTCCTGCTTTGCAGAGAAGACCATCACACCCCTTTTGCATGCTGCCAGCTTAAAAATAAAGACTGCCTGGCCCAAGGAAAAGGCAGCACTGGTGTCTGGAGAGTGTGAAAGCTCGGGGTTTGCCTGATGCACCTCTTTCCGGACTCTAGGAACAGCAGAGACTTGCAAGCCCTCACATTATCTCA